TTAAACCATGACCACTACTACATATTTTTTATATGTAAGTAGAATTTCGAGACTACTAGTAAATCAGTAAGGTGAACGACTGGTAGTAGAATTTTCCCGAAATGATGTGAGTAGAACTGACGTTTCCATTGGATTCCACATAGCCTTGCTTTCGCAAAAGTTGTTCTCATTCAGGGTGGACTGCAGTTTCGACCTCGCATCAGGCTTATCAACACCCCCAGCGGGAGTCGAATTGTGACGGTGCAGAATGTGACCCAAAGGCACTCGTGGCAATATGGCCGAGTGGTTAACATGTCAGCCTCACATTATACTACCAGTTTTTAATCACCTTAAACGAAATAGGGTGAATACATCTTTTATTACTACTACATAGTTGGCCTGATTGTTGTTGTTCAGTTCAGACTAAAAGGAGGGCAAACCGAGGTGGTTTGATTTGTTAGCAGTCAAAAATGCGTACTCGCACCGATCATTATCTTTTTTGTCTCTATAGTGATCTGTTATGTCAAAAAATATAAATTAAGTGTTCAACCACCTTTGCCCTCGGGTGCACTACCACTGGCTGCCACTTTCTTTTTTTCCTTTCTTTAATTTCCCCCTTTCATCTTTGGATACCAATTTTTCTCTCCTTGTTTCTCCTTTACAGTTATTCCTATCTTCCTACATCTGCTTTGTGATTCTTCTTGTCTTTGGCACTAAATGCAGACTCGCATTGCTTGATGTGCTTGATGTTGCCTAATTTCGCCTACTTTTTAATTCTATTCAAGGCTGCCTTGGATCGACAGGCGTCAGGGACAGGATGGCCGTCATCCGAGCTCACGCTCGTGAGTTCTGACTTCTCATCTAGCAGAGTTTCTCTAGTCGCTTCATCGGCTGGTCACAGTTCAGCAACGTCCGGCGAATTGGTCCTCCATCTCGAAGGTCTATCCCTTCCGCAGCGTCTTCCCGTCCTGCTTGATGTCCACCTAACTCGGCGTTTACTCGCCCAGTTCACAGGCCACCCTCCAGACGTATCCGGCTCGCCTGCCAGGACCAGACTTATTGCCAGTATTTCGACTGTTCCTGGGCCAGAGGCTCAACCTCTACTTCGCATGCGGCTGGTGGCGCAATCCAGCCGAGTTACCGGTGGCCATGTTTGCAGGCCTGCATGGTGTGGAGGCTTGCGAAGGTCCATGAGGCGGCGCGGCATGCCATGGAGATTACGCCCTCGTATGCTCCAACTCTCTTCGATTACATGCATTTTTATCCAGTGATTTGAGTCAGGAGCATTTCCGGCCATTTTTATATCGACATTGTCGCTGTGACGGCATTGTCTCATCCTACAAAGTCTGGTTGCACAGAACTGTTTGAGGAGTGTTATTTTACGAACTTGGCACTTGCTGTTTATTGGGGAGACCTTTATTACGTAGGTTGATCTCACCAGGAGACGATGGATGAATCCGACTGTACTGCAGTCGTTTGGCTTTACTACGGCGTTCAGGTTCACGCAACATCCTCCCTCGTTTCGGGCGAAAACGGGTGGAGCTTTCATCCATCATATGATGGACCTCATCAGAGCTGGAACATATTCTTGTAAAAGCCTCACGTTAACATGAGATCAAGAAGATTATGCGGCTCTATCCAACATCTTATATATACTCATAAACTAAACGTCCTCTGGTGAGATCAACCTACGAATATTTTCTTAATGCGCTTGCATACGAAATGAACGTCTTCCCGACAACATTATTTCAGGAGATATGAAGACCAAGATGGTGTGGCCTTTTGTGTGGTCGCAGTCTCCGTTCGTTGTATAGAAGTTGTTTGACCTTGTTTTCGCAACTTGTTCATAATGGTAGGAAGACTTATTGAAACGCACCTTGTCCTGAGTCCATTGTATGCATAATTATTTCCAGAGTCGGACCGTGGACGTGGTACATCCCCATACGTTTCGCCAGCATCGTAGTCGTCATCGTCAGTGAGTTTTACCATTCTTAGCACCATGTTACAAACTCGTCAAAGAGACAATTGAAGGCGATCCTTTGACCAAACCTGTGCCAAACGGTTATGGTATCTCCCCTTCTGCAATAGCCTATTCAT